CAGCTTAGGTGTACGTGGCTGGCGCCTTAGCCGGTTGAGCTATAGGCGCCGAGCCAAACTAGATTTTTCTTACAGAAAATTTCACTGATTCCTCATTGTAAAGATTATCCTTGTCAATCACCTACATTAAAACTGTAGATGAGAGAACAAATCAAACATACAAACAAACAAAATCCAGCCAATTAGTAAGATGGTATTGTCTGGAATACTCCTAATCAGCCTTGTATGTTGAATTTTGCCATACCTAGATGCTGTGGAGAAATTGAGTTATAAAGATGGAACTAGAAATGACAGCAATAAAATTAGGAGTGGCAGCAGCACTTCCCACTCATATTTTGGTTATCAAGGACATAAACCATCCCTTGCACTCTCACTCCCAGCCCTTGATTTTCTGCATTCGACTTCTCTACCTAAATCAACCATACTAAGCAGTTAAAGGTCTATTTTTGATAATACTGTACAATGAATTAAGTACTATAGTCAAGTGAAAAATCAGCCAGATGGTATGTAGGGGGAGCAAATATATATCCAAAATGGCTAGATAAAGTGCAGCCTACTGTAAAGGTCATTAGAGTGATCCCAGTAAAGTACTTTGGATGTTTACCAGAAGGAAAGATAATTTCCACCTGGGTACTAAAGACATCTTCTTAAAGGAAGTAGTATTTGAAGCAGAGCCTTTAAGGAAAATTGTTGGTTTGACTTGATGCAAAATAATAACACCTACTCAGTCTATTTTGTATTGAATTGAGGAGCCCCGGGGAGGTCAAGACCCCAAGCCCTCCACAGGGAGAGACAAAGGTGCAGCCCCTTCCAAGGATCCTCACAGGCCTTTATTTAAGTCAGGAGTAAGAAAATACAGCACAGCAGCAAGCTTTAAAGAGAGAGCAAGGTTACAAAACAAAGAGTTTTCTTTCACAGCATGAATTAACTCTTTAACACATTCTGTTTACTGCACTTCTGTCTTGTCTTTTTCTTATCTGCTAAATATGACTGAGGGCTGAGACAGTGTGCTTTGTCTAATGAGTATTGTTTTTAGTATGCAGGGCCACCAGTGCTGCTTGGCTTTTTCTTAGATTAGTCTGTGCCTCGTGCCTAGCACTTTTAACTCCATGCTCTATCCCACAGAGAATTAACTTTTACAGATGGCAGTAAGAACTGAGAAGAGAAAGGATATTGCAAGAAAAGAAAGTATGAGCAAGGACTTAGAGATAACAGGCATGTCTAAGAAAAATAGCCCTATTTTTTTGTTATATAAGTTGTAATATCTCCTTTTCTTTCTTTCTTTCTTTTTTTTTTTTTTTTTTTTTGCAGTTTTTGGCCGAGGCTGGGTTTGAACCTACCACCTCTGGCATATGGGATCGGTGCCTTACTCCTTTGAACCACAGGTGCCTACCTTGTAATGTCTCCTTTTTTGTTTCTGATTTTATCTGTGTTTTCTCTTTTTTCTGAGTTACTCTAGCTCAGTGTTTTTTAACCTTTTTTAATCTCACAGTGTGGGAGCCAAACTAAGAATGTGGGAGCCAAACTAATTAACTCAAGTCACAAGTCAAACTACCTCCTTTTGTTGTTTATTCAGGACAATAGGCCACTGCATACCAAAGACCTTATCATACCTAGGTGTTACAGCCCACATCCTGACTCCCTCCCCTTCGTCCCACTAGCCCCCTTGTGCACTCAGTCCACATCCTGATCCCCTCCCTTTTTTTGCAATCGTCACTCTACTCTGCACTGCCCCACTTGCGACCTTTATCCCTTCCTTCTCATTCGCTCACCTGAGACAAAGAAGACTCGTCCCTGAGCCAATCAACCTTGAACAGGACCACCCTGTACCTGTCAGTTTAGGACAGACATGGTTTACCTACCAATAAGGGGATGGGGTGGGATGGTCTAATGGGAGGGAAGAGGGAAAGGTATAAAAGAATTGTCTGAGTAGTCTGTAAGGACTGTTGCCGCTTTTTCTTAAAGGGCAGCCCAGGCTCTGAGCTTGAATAAATAAAATTCCTCGTGTCTTTGCAGTGATGTTCGGCCTCTCAGAGTGGTGCTTGAATTGAGTCTGGGGGCTAACAATAGCACATGAACCTATAAACTTTCATGATACATTTAAACTATGTTGATCAAAAAAAGAA